ATGAGCAGTGGTTAAAGGCATGGGATCAGGATGGGTCCAGTGTCGTGGCCTTTGGCAATGCTGGTGATGCTCTGGGTTTTTGCTTCCCAGACCTTTTCTCATTCTCTGGTACTGGTATGGGGCTAAAAGCTTCCTACTGGGCTGGGAGAATGTGTCTGCTTTTTCCATTTCTGGTCTATCTGATCCATGTGGTCTGTCAGACTGCCTCACTGTTGTGAGGTTTTGGGGGTACATTCCCCAGAAACTGTCACGTTTCCAAATTTTGGTTATCTTGAAACATAGTCAGGAATTCGGGTATAAAGTGGCCAGGAATAGGTTGGATGCTTTGCATGCCCACTGCTGTGTGGCCAAGCAAATGGTTCTGGATTACAGGGCTGAGCTCGATGTGAGCATGGCTGGTATCTGAAATAATTTGACTTGCTCTTCTCCCCTTTCTTCCCTATTTTTCTTACTTCTAGGGCACAGCTCTGGGGGAAGTGTAGACCCAGCACAAAAAATCCATTCTCACCATATCTGCCTCGGGGACTGTGTGAATGCTGCTCAGTCTGCCCCATAGCCTGCAGTCATCTTGGTGGCATCTGGAAATGTTGGTGTTTTATCTCAAACATAGTGACACTTCTCTTCTTTTTGGAGTTGCCTAAACAGACATAGCCCTCTGCTTTTTGGAGGAAAGTTTTGTTGTCCTTGCAGAGGGAAACTGAGACAGCTTAGGTGTCTGGATGGGATTGAGCTGAAGGACTGGGCTGGACGTGGGGGCTCTGAGACTGGAACAAGCCATCGCTGCAGCCATGCAATGGTGGTGGCAGAAGTGACTCAGTGCAGTGCAGCAGGTGTAGGGACCACTCATCTCTCCCTGCCATGGGGTTCCCAGCTGGGTGATGCTACCAGCCCTATTAGGCTCCAGCACATCCCTCACAGCTCTGCTTCCCTCCCTACCAAGGAGGCTGCAATCTGTCCTGTGTGCCATTCTGTGCTACCTGCCACCAACACTGCAGCCACAGGACACGGAGGTCCCTGCAGCCCCCCGGCCCCTCCTGGAGAAGTGGCAGCAGATTAGCTTGGACCCCCCCTGCGCAGACAAAAGCTGCCACAAAGGGCATTAGCCTTCAGGATTGGATTACCGTGGAGCCACCTGTCATTCCCACTTTGTAAATTTATGTCTCTCTGAGTCTAGTTTTCACATTAGAGAAGTTTGTACTTAAAAAGCAAAATAAAATCCCCCCTGTCCCCCCTTCTCCCATGTCCCTCCAGGCAGCAGCCTGGTGGGGTTATTTTAGCATCCCGTTTAATTGTGGGCTTCAGAGCTGAGCAGGGCTGGGGATTAGGGCTGTTTGAACGAGGAGGGCCTTTATTACATTAGTCTAAGTGGTTAATAGGTAAAGTAGGCCAATCCATCTTTAGACTAAGCCTATCACTTCGCCTACGGAGGATGCAAGCTTCACCGAGGAAATATTCATTAGAGGAAAAGCTTTCCCTCTGTCTCTCTTGACATGTTCATAGCTCGGAGCGAGGGGCTCTGCTCTCTGCCTGCAGGAAATTCATGGCTGTGGTCCCGCTGTATCTCCATCATCCCATGGGACCTGCAGGTCGTCCAGGTGCTGGCTGCCCAAATCAGGGACGCAGGAATCTGCTGGCACTGTCATCCTCACTTTCCTTTTCTGTGCTTACAAAGCAGAATCCTTGTCTCTTCCCTAGTGGGGATGCAGGGGAAGGGTTCAAAGTAGGGCTGCAGCACTGGGACTCTCTGCTGTGGGATGTTCTCAAGGCAAAAAGGGTTTCAAAGGCTCAGTCAGTCCGCAGTCAATATAAAATGGGATGATCTGGGTGCACACGCTGGCTCCAGAGGTCTTTGATTCCAGGTTGCCAGAAGGCAGGAGGGTAAGAAGACAGGAGGACTACTTGCCAAGTTTTTCATACCATCTTTATTTCCCACCCTGCTATCCACTGCAGCCCTCTGTGCTGTCTCCATCCAGCCCTGTCCCGACTGGTGCAGCAGCTTTTGTCTGTGCTCAGATCTCTTTCCCACGGCCTGCCCTCTGCTTTATCATCTCCCTTCCCCATACAGATAATAGTGGTGGCTGCACCTCTGCCATCACTGCCTTGCACCAGGAAGCTGCCCATGTCTGTATGACCCAAAGGGGCCATATCCCACCGTGGCTGCAGCTCTTCCAGCCATGGTAGCTTCTTCCCTCTCCCTCTACCACTCATGCAACCATTGCTGTCTGGGAGCTTCGGGAGCAGATATTCAGAGTTTGAGTCTGGTTCTGCTTCCATCAACGTGCACACCTGGTGTGTTGGAGCCACAGTGCTACACCCGGGCCAGTTTGCCCTTTTCCAGGTGTGGTTTGAATGGGAATAAACCCTCCTCAATGACTATTCCACCTGTGTGAGTTCACAGCAGCAAACTTACCAGTTCCTCCTGTCCCCAAGGCTCTGTCTCTGGCTGCTGGCGTGATGGGTGATGCCTGTGTGGGAACTTATGGAAGCCGTGGAAAAACTGCTTGCTACAGACAGGCACGTGCCATGAAACATTGCTTTCCTGACAGCTTTTGCTGTCAGAGGTCCACGGGCCCTGATATTTGACTCCTCCTGCTGTTCTCCAGTTTCTGTGCAGCCACTTTTCAGTTGGGTCAGCTGTTGGAAACAAGACATGCTGCATGTCCTCAGGCACAAACCAGGGGTGGGCTCAGGTGCTGCTGGCCCTATGGGTGCTTCTGGTGCTCTTCCACTTCTGCAGTACACTCCTCTGAGTTCATGGAAACGCTCATTAAGAGTTTCCCAACCCAATCACCTGACTCAGCAACTCTGCCCCCAGCAATTTCCTCCTCTTCCACAGGGCAGAGCCCTGCCTAGGGCCTCTCTTGTGCAAGGAGGAAAAAATAAGCCTTGCATCATTACCAGAAGCCCAGTAAACACTGATTGCAGCAGCCCTGCAGGAGAAGTTGACCTTGATGTCCGGGGCCTCAATGCAGAGTGACCTGCTGGACTCACTGCCTTCAGTTGGACCTGGGCCCATTGTGGAGAGCAGTCTCCTCTCTTGGCAGGTCCCCGGCCATTAAAGGCTTCGTGGATTAAAACCTTAAATCAATTGGTGGCCAGCGCAGGATGTAGAGCTCAGATTTAATGTGGCCATAAAAAAGAGACACCACTTAATGAGTAGTCTGTCGAAATCCACATCGGCCCACGTTAGATTTAGGAGTCCCTCCCTGAGCGTTACTGACTTGTGCTGTTCTCCGAAGGCGTTACTGGTTTGTGAGGTGAGCCAGAAAGGTACAGGGTTAGTCAGAGCTGTGTTTTGATTCAGTTTGTCTGCACATGCCAGCTCCTGACCTGCAGCAGCATTCATACCCCAGGTGCTTATAGGCTGGGGCGACTTTCGTCTGCATGAGAAACTCCATTTGTGTGATGCTGAGAAGGCAGCCCTAGGGTTTGCCACCACTGTTGGCTGGAGGTTGCCCCAGCATGCTTGCCCCTTTGTCCCAGGTCCACTGACTGCCCTATTGACCCACGTGGGTCTAGACTAGACGATCTTAGAGGTCTTTTCCAGCCTTAATGATTCTGTGATTCTATGAACAGTGCAATGCTGAGCCCACAGGTGTGGGCATTGGGTGTCCCTTGCCTGTAAACACATTGTGTAAACTTAATGCCAGAAGGTGAAATAGAATACTGTGTACAATCTACATCAAACAGCAGTTACCTAAACAGCGACTGACCAAATTCCATGGCCATGCAGCAATTTGTTGTTCTGTCAGCCCACTCATTATGGATTTTCCTGCTATTTACCCCCAGATGGGTCATTTTTCCCTTTGCCTTCTTACTGAGGGCAACCACTGGCATTAACACGAGCATTTGGAATCGTGAGGGCTCACAGCGATCTTTGCTGTAGAGGCATAAAGCAATGTGGGAGGGGAACAAGCAGCCTCTGCGTGCAGTGCAGTACAGCTGGGGTAAGGCTGCTTGAGGCTTGCAGATCACACACTCACCAATCATTTCTCTGCGATGGTGGATGCTTTGAAAACTTAATCAAGTTTTATAGCTTTAATTTTATGACAGACTCCCCTCTTGCTGTCTTTAACTGTCTCTCAGCCCAGAGTAAATGAGTCCCATGGGGTTGTAAAGGGAAAGCATTGGCAAAGGGTCTAAAATATTTAGGCTTGCCTAGTGAATGTTAGGAAAAAATGACTTTTCTTGCTTTGAGCTATTTCAGTAATTTTAGAAAGTTCTCCAGTTTTTATCAGTGTTATTAATTAGAAATGACCAGCAAAATAGGGCAGAATTCAAGGATTTGTGTATTGTGAGGGTGTGCGAGCTGAGGTTGTGTTCTCCTGGTTGCATCCTGTATCCCAACTGGTTGTAGCCCATGTGGCACTGGAAGAGACAGGCTGTCCTTGCTGGGTACTGGCTGGAATGTGCTGGAGATGCCTCCAGCAGCTCTTGATGCTCCTTCTGGTGCTTGACAGGGGAATACTTTGCTGAGGACCCAGTGGTTGGGTGACCAGCTAGGCAGATGCTGTGAGCAAATAGCTCTCTTTTGCCTAAACTGAGAGAAATGTCACTCTGGAGATGCTAAAGGAAAGCAGAGTGGGCGTGCTCTGGGGAGCTCTGGGCTTTCAGTAGTCCTTCCTCTTGTTACCCTTGGGAAGATGAGCTGTGGGCTGGGCATGGAGGCAGACTGGTGCTGGCTGGAGCCATGCACAGTGCTGCCATGGACTCATCCTGGCCATCTGGCATGGTGTGCGCAGCCACACTGCAGGTGTGAAGTACAGCCTGACTCACCTACCCCTGGAGGAGTGGGAGATTGCTCGGCCAGATTTCTGATACAGTGCTCTTTAATAGTAATACCCATAGCCCCTAGATCATTGGAAAATGGATATTTATCCATATGAGCTAAATGGCCCATCCAGGCATGTTAAGGAAGAAAATTCTCGTGTATGAATGTGTACGTATATTTATATATATGTGTGTATTTTGCTGTTCTAACTTGCATGTTTTGCTGGCAGGGACCTCATGCCCAGGACCCTGGAGGGGCAGATCACCATGGAGAAGACCCCCAGCTACTTCGTCACCAAGGAGGCCCCAGCCCGCATCTCCTCCATGGCCAAGGGCACGAAGCTGATCGTGGTGGTGCGGGACCCCGTGACCAGAGCCATCTCGGACTACACACAGACGCTCTCCAAGAAGCCCGACATCCCCACCTTTGAGAGCCTGACCTTCAAAAACAGGACTACGGGCCTGATCGACACCTCGTGGAGCGCCATCCAGATCGGCATCTACGCCAAGCACCTGGAGAACTGGCTGCTCTACTTCCCCATCGGGCAGATCCTCTTCGTCAGCGGGGAGAGGCTGATCAGCGACCCCGCGGGGGAGCTGGGCAGGGTCCAGGACTTTCTGGGCCTCAAGAGGATCATCACCGACAAACACTTCTACTTCAACAAAACCAAGGGCTTCCCCTGCCTGAAGAAGGCGGAGGGCAGCAGCAAACCCCACTGCCTGGGGAAAACGAAAGGCAGGACCCACCCTGACATCGACCAGGAGGTGGTGCAGAGGCTGCGGGACTTCTACCGGCCCTTCAACATGAAGTTCTACCAGATGACAGGGCAGGACTTCGGCTGGGACTGAGGCTGGCGTGGGAAAGTCCCCTGTAATTACTTGCCCATCACAGTTTGCGTATATAAAGAGATATATATGTATGTAAAATGTACAGAAATCTATTTTATAATAATTTATTTTTAATTCCTAAGCAATTAATTCACTAAGCTGCCTAACCGCACTGGCTAGAACGGTAGCCTGTAACCTGTTTAACATTCCACCGTGTTTTAATTCTAATATGTCTCTTCTTTTTTTTTTTTTTT